GAGTTACTCTCTGTACTAAGCAGTCATCCACATAGGTTCCTTTATGTGTTGCATGGTAATCGTTCAAATCTTGGATCCTTAGCGATCCTTAGAGCCACTTGATACTTTTGCCCCAATTTTTCAACTTCAGCCATTACACAGTTATACAAGGGATACACTTGACATACAGACATTCCATCATCGACTGCACTAAGTCCAGTTCGGCTTTAATGGAAAAATTGATAAAGCTGGTATCAACCAGGATGTGCTAAGGTAGACCCAGCTGTGTATTATATTGAAAGAGTAAGCTGAAGGGTGTTGGGGGACGCCTCTTTCCTTCAGCATGCAAGGATCTTTCTTTTCTTTCTTTTTAGGTTTTAATCTATCCTTTTCTTTAAGCCTCTGATCTCTCAGACTAAGCATTAGCTTCATGGTCACATAATTTCTTGTTTTCTTTTGTTTCCCCATGCTCATGCCACATTTGGGTTTCTTACAGAATCACCAACTGCACTATTTTCTGACTTTAGATTTTAACCCTTCAATAAGATGCAACTTCCCTGAATGTACCTTATGTATGTACCAAGATAGTTCTTTGAATGATTCCATTACATAGGGATTAATTATAGTTTCTTTCTGACTTTAAAGACATCAAGAACACTGAGCATACAATTTTCACTTAATTATAAGAATAGTATTTTTAAATGGTAAAGATTTCAGAAAGCTGAAACTGTAGAGAAAGAAAAAATAAAAACAAAAATAAAAACTTTAAATTTTTTATATTTACTGAATTTTATTTATCATTATTATTTTTAAAATTTGCTAAAGGGCATGTGTGAGACAGAAAGGGAGGGAGAAAGTGAGAAAGGAGGCCACCAGCTCTGGGACTTGAACTGCTGTTGGCCACGTGGAAGTTTAATGACTTAACCACTACTGGCCCTGTGAAATTGTTTTCTTAAGAAATTCTGTTTTGGGGGCCAGCAGATGATGTAGCAGTTATGTTGCTAGACTTCCACATGGTCGACTGTGGATCGAGTCCCAGACCTGGTGGCTTGAAACTCACGCCGGGTGCGTGAGTGTGCGTGTCCAAGATCCTGAAAAGAAAATGGAGGAGACGGGACTGCGGCATGGCCATTCCCCCAGGGAGTGATTTCTCACTTTTCCTCTGTCTCTTTCTCTCCTTCTGACAAGCGCACGTGCCCTAAGGCAAAACCTCTTTAAAAAAATAATTTGTCTCCTTCACAAAACAAAAACCAAAATATTAGAAAAAAATTGGTTAAGTGTAGTGTTTTCGAATTCTAAATCTATCCCTCAACGGAAATAACTCTCTGTATAACACTCCATTATCACTAAATGTCAAGGGTTTGAGGGCAAGTCCCTTTTTTTTTTTTTTTTTGGGAGAGATTTTCACTGTAGGGCGCGTGCGCTCGCCAGACAGACAGAGAGAGACATAGAGACAGAAAGCGAGAAATCACCCCCCAGGGGGGATGGTCACGCCGCAATCCCTTCTCCTCCATTCTCCTCTCGGGATCTTGGGCACGCACGCACACGCACCCGGCGTGAGTTTTAAGCCACCGGGTCCGGGACACGAACCGCGGTCGACTACGTGGGAGTCCAGCGACATAGCCATTACGCTAACTGCTGGTTCCCGAGGGCAAGTCCCTTTTTGTGAAGGTATTTTTGTCTTTCTTTCTGAGATTCTTAAAGAAAATTTAATTCCATTTTTTTCTCAAGAATTCTTCCAGCATATATCAAGATAGATGACAGTTTCCATTTTCAAAAACACATCACCACACTACAGGAAAAAAATTCTTTTAGATCAGAAATGTTTCTTTAATTATCTTTGACTGTTATTCCTATACCTACTTAAAAGGACTTTATTGGAAAACTTACTAGCCATTTTTTTTTTTTCTGTCAGACAGCACATATACTCAGGAAAGAGAGCAAGAGTGAGAGAGAGAAGGAGAATCCACCACCCCCACATCCCCAATGGGGAGAGGTTATGCCACAGTCCTTTTCTGCGTCTCCTTCATGTCAGGAATTTGAGCATGTGAGCAGACATGCACCCTGTATTTTTCAAGCCACAGGGGCTGGGATTTAAACTGCGGTTGACCATGTGGGATTCAACTCCCCACACACTGGGTTTAACTACTGTGCTATAGGGCAAGACCTATTGTTCTAATTTTTATCTTCTAGTGGGTCATTGGAAAAGTAATGACATATTTTTCTATACTAAAATGCATAACTTCTAATGACCTTTTTTTTAGGGGAGAGATTTTTGCTGTAGGGTGGACATGCTTGACAGAGAGACAGAAAGCAAGAAATCACCACCCACCCCGGGGAGAATGGCCACCCACAATCCCTTCTCTTCTAGTCTTCTATCGGGATCTTGGGCATGCACATGCGCCTGGCATGAGTTAAGCTGCTGGGTCTGGAACTTGAACCAGGGTCTACTATGTGGGAGTCCAGCATCATAAACATTTCGCCATCTGCTGGTTTCCCTGATGACCCAATATTATCTAATTTATTATTTAATGTATATTCTT